TAGTTTTAAATTTATATGCACTTAAGAAATTAATATTATAGATATAATATTTTAGAGACAGTGAAAAAGAAGAGGGATCCTTGAAATGATTATGAATACTTGAAACATATTGGAGTGATGTTTAGGACAAATAATTAAGATAGAATTCTGATCAGCTTGTAAACACTGCTCGATTTTCTTGCTTATGTTGTAATCTTGCAAAATGTCTATGGTTCCAAAATAGAAAACCATTTCATAAATCTCTTCGTGAAATAAATAGTTTGTCAGGAATATTGATCAAAATCATTTACTCTCACAATTTTGTGTTTATTCTTTGAGATATGTTTGCGTGTACTCTAATCGAGAGTTTTTGGCAAAGGCAATCAATTAGATTTCTTTCACTTTTTTAATTTGTTTAATTTTTAGTCTTCGATATTGGCGTTGATCTCACTTGCTACGGTTTTTCGTTAGCCAAATTATTATACACAATTCATTTCTATAGTAGCCAAAAACTTTCTTACTTTATAAACTTAATTGCTACTCTTTTTTTTTATCAGACTTAATTGCTATTCTTTTCAAATGAAATATATTAAATGTCAAAAGATTTGATATTTTCTGTCGGTACTAATATAGTTGATATAAACTCGTAAAATCAACATAACGAAAAGAACAAAAAAACAATTTCAAACTTTTGCACCGTAGAATTAGAGCTAGACAACCTTGAAAGTAAAATAAAAATTATAAGGATAGCAAAATATCAATTTTAATAAATTAAACTTTTTATTAGTTAATTAAATTGGTTTAAGGGTTTGAGTTATTTTTTAGTTTGTCAAAGAGTGTTGTATATTCATATTTATTCTGATCGTTTTCTTGTATCAGAAAAACACAAATTTGTCACCATAAATCTTTCAAACGTTTATTTTTTTGCATTGAAATTTCCTTTACACAACCTATAAACAAAAATATACAAACACATTCGTAATCAAGAAACCAAAGAGTAATGTTTCTTGATTTCTATAATTCCATCTCAATGCTTCTTTGATTCTCTTTTTAGCCYACAATTAAACACAAAGAACACAAATTATAAAATTAAAATCCAAAATATATATTGGATTTACGTAAAAGATCACCAAAAGATATACTATACCACTTTATCAACATAATCTCATCCAACCCGGTTTAAATAATATTGAACCGATTTTCTAGCATCAAGACCATCATCTGTAAAAACATTCTCTATTAATATGTATAATTCGTTTCTTCTCCAACATGCGTTCCCATTTTAATCTATTTTCTCACATAAATGAAGTAATTGTAAGTTGCACCACTAAGCATTGGTAACACCAACGACATACAGAACAAAAGCTTTAAGCATGACCAAAATGACAACCTCAAAATTGTAAAATTATAACAATATATTTTA